GAATGGGCTGCCACATTGATAGTTCATTCTTTGTTTTTAAGAACTCCTTGTCTGTCTTCTTCCTCTGGGAAATCAAGGCCCTCACAAAATGAGAACGAGTGGGCAGTCAGGCACAGAGTGGTGATAGGGACATGCACATCAGTTGTATTCTCCCTCCAGAAATTTTACAACAGACACAGTGACACGTATCAAATCTGTGGAATACTGTGTGAGTCCTCACTGAGATACAGCCACTGCTAAAACAGGCCAACTGCAGTCACCATGTAGCACTGCAGGGATAAGCCCCTCACATGCACAGCCTTGGCCTTGGGTGGATTGGGGTTGGTTTGACAGCTAAACACAAAGCTCATTCTCCAGGAAGGAGTGCCATGGTGACTCTCAAGTCCTGATGAGGAACAACAGGTTGGAGCTCTTGTATCATCCCAGTGCCCTACTGGAAACAAAATAAATGAGTTCCTAGGGAAATCTTCAGTGGATTCTTGTGGTAACTTTACCTGAGTAGATCTTGTGAACAAAGTAACTTGATCTGGAACTGCATCTGAAAGGGCATAATCTTGAATCTCTGTAAGTCTGAGCTGCTGTTGAGATGCATCTGTTAAGCACTAGCATCTTCAGGAAAGGTACTGCGGGATTAGCTTCTTGTACGCTGGGAGGGCTAGTCTCTGATACAAAAGCAGTGGAGAAACAAAGGCAACTGCTGGTGATCTTTGCAGTTCTAAGTTTCTGATGCTTGCTTATTACTTGTCAATACAAAGATGGTATGAAGCAACTTTTTTTTTCTAAAGAACTATTCTATTTAAATATGTTCTTACATTTAACAGGAGACTTTAAAAAACACTACTTTTAATGTGCAGTCAACTTGGTGAAGAATGAAGAGTCTGAGCAAAGCATGCAGACAACAGCTACGTGTTATTGCCCAAATCGTAGGATGCATGTGAATACAGCTGAGTAAGCAAGTTATACAACATGACTTACCTGACAAAGTTTAACTACTTCTATTCACAGCTTACCTACAATAGGTGTTTGAGTTCCAGAAATAAACTATCAATATTAGCGCTCTTAAAAAAAAATACTGATTCATTACAACGAATTTATATTTGCTAGTCAAAGTCAGATAGGTTTTATTGTGGTTGGTAACACAGCCACAGTTTCTGCTGCCCAGGTAGATAACTGTGCAATTGCTTGATTGCGAGCTTCACCTTCATTTTCATAAATATGATTCTGAAATTTGCTTTCTGCAGACATCCATGCCATTAAAAGTTAATATGTGATTATGAGCAGAAAGTGACCATTACAGGGGGTGTAAACACAGAGCCTGATATGAAATAACTTAATTTTTTAAGCAAACATTGCTGAAAATACTGTTGATATTTTCCCAGTTCTACTCCTGCAGAAAGAATTAGTTGCAATGGTTTGCAGACTTTCTTGTACAGAATATCCTTTTTCATTGCTTAAAAATGTGAAACTTCCTCAGGAAGAAATTAAATAGGTATTTCAGTGTTTATAGATGTAATACTCTTTGTCATTCACATTGAATGAAAATTGCTGGAAACATTTTTCTCAAAGTTTTTTTAAATAAAAAATAGCTATTATTCTGATAGTGGCATGGTATCTGAAGTGCAACAATAAACTCTGATAAGAAAATATAGTGCTGTGTAGAAGTGATTTTTACATTCATAAAAGCTATCCTTTTCCAGGTTACTTAGCAGCTATTGCAGATTGACACTGAGCTACAACAATCAAAGAGCATGGGAGCAGCATGAAATGTTTTCAGAAATCAAAAATAGTGCTTACTCTCTCTGTAAGTGAATGTTACTGCTTTATGCAGCTGCTTGTTTTACTGCTTTTGCTTCCTGCTTACTTTTTATTTCTTGTGCCAGAAGTTGCTAATGTGTGCTATAGAAACATTTCCAGAGCTTGCTGTTTTTAATATAACAAGCAGACTTTATTCAAATCATTTGCTGTGGGGATTCAGTGGTTGTGCCAATGATCAGCCTACACAGAAATGAGAAAACCTTTCTTAGGAGAAAGCTCTAAAACGGTATCAATGTGCAAAGGAAAATTCACTGTTATCAACAAATTTGGAACAGAATAGAAAAGTGTACTACCTACCTGAGCAAAAGCTGCATAGTGTCTTCATCGAGCTACAGAAAGTAGGAAACCTATGTTAAGAAGATAGTCTGTTCATCACAGAGAAATAATGCAGCCTATAAATTAGAAGTCTTAAACTGCTTTTATAATACCCATTTCTGTAATCTCTAAGAATTACAAAACTGGAACGGTAAAGTAGTAACAGAAAAGCACTAAGCAAAGGGAAAAGTCTTTTCAGTTCTTCCCATACCCTAAATTCTTAGTGCCCATAGGCGAAACACACTTTTTTTGTCTCTGTGGACAACATGGTTGAAGAAGGCACAACAGTCAGTATCAAAGGACAAGTCACAGGAACGGGGAAGCAATTAACAGCTGAACCCAAGGGTTAGGGAAGCCTGAATAGAGGGGGAATTTAGACACATTAAGGTGATAGATTTGGAAAGCATATAGTGACTGTGAGTCTTCATGACTCTGTTTTATGTCAGGTTACTTCTTTCTTTCTTTTCTAATACAGTATTTTCATTCTTCACTTCCCTTTTTCTGTTCTGATCCTCTTTTTCTCTTGAGAATTTCAGATGGGAAGTAAGGTTTATGTGCAAACACACAAAAGCCAACCAAACAAAAAATCAAAAACCAGAAAAACATTTTTTGCATAACTTTTCATAATACAC